ATTGTCCACATTTCAGCAGCAGCTTACATGTTTCCGCTGAGATGTTCTCAGTTTCATTAACTGAGGTTTCGCTTCAGACATGATTCAGAATTGCTTGGACAGCAACTAACAACAACAACAACAACAACAGCATGCCGAAGGAAACTAGTGGTCATAAAGTCAGAGGGTGCCAGTTTTCTCGATTTCCTTGCCACGTGCTGCCTCGAGGGAGCGTAATTAAAGAGTCTATCTCGTAGGGTGTGCACGAGGCAGGCTCTTTTGGCTATGAAACTCTGGAATTTTAGGATTAATGATTTTCTTGCTGGGCAGATAGTTTCTTTCTCTGATCTTTGCTCTTGTGGTTGCCTTTCTTGTTTTTTTCTGGGTTCTGTCATATGGGAAAAGGTCCTAGAGGTGTCCATAGAATACAATCTCTAAAATAATGCACCTCTTATAAAAATTAGAATGCATCCAGTAAACAAATACCAGAGATGGCTTTAGAAATCCTCAAGCTCAATTTGGATTTAGCCACCTGTTTTATTCTTTGGGCTTTCCCAGTCCAGAAATGATCCTCATTTTCCACTCCTAACCTCTTTCTCAGGTGGGTTCATCCCAGACTAATGTCATGTTCTTTGTGCTGCACCTTCCTTATTAGCTCAAGAAGATGGCCAGTCTACAGAATACAGTAACAATAAATGTGTTCTCAAAACCTGGTGCCTAAATCCTATTTGCAGACTCATACCTTTGTAATATGCTTCAAGATTCTGATATTTTCTTTTTTTTCCTTAAAAAATAATTTTATTGGCATCTTTTACATTACATACAGCAGTTGTATCAAGCATATTTGTATATATGTTGCCATCATCATTTCCAAAACATTTTCTACATGTCTTAGGTTTTCTTAAGAAAAGCCTTACAGAATTTCTTCATTGTGATTTCCAAGTTTTGCCTTAAAAATATCCAAATTTAGGTCGGTGTTAGGCTGTTGAGAAAGTACGATACATGTAATCAAATGAACAGGTGCTAGCTGTCCTAGTGTATTTCTGAGTAAAATACCAGCGCATTCGTGTGATGCTGGCGACGCTGTTACTGTTGTTGTTTGGTGCCATGGAGCCTGCCGCAGCTCCTGGTGATGCTGTGAACAGTCGAACGAGAGACCGCCCAACCATCACCGCCCCCACGATGGTTACGCTCCTCCATTGCCGCCGCCACTCAGTCGGCCCATCTCAGGGAGGGTCTTCCTCTTTTCATGATGGCTTTCTACTCGATCCTTTTCCAGGGACTACTGTCCCCTGTTAAATGTCCAAAGTAGGTGAGACAAAGTCTCCCCATTCTTTGTTCTAAGGAGCATTCTGGCTGTACTTCTTCCCACACAGACCTGTTCTCTCTTGTTCTGACAGTTGTGGTACTTTCAATATTCTTTGGTAGCACCATCAGTAAAATGCACTAATTCTTGAAAATACCATGCCATACCTCTGTTCTTTAATACTTTAAGAGTGCATGTGCAGCAGATTTGCCCAGTGTTATACATCATGTGATTTCTCGACGGCTGCTTCCACGAGCACGGATTGTGGATCCAAGTAAAATGAAATCCTTGACAACTTTTAGCCTTTCTCTGTTTATCATGATGTTCTCCGTTGGTCCAGTCGTGAGGGTTCCGTTTTTCTTTCCATTGAGTTGCAAGCCATACTGAAGGCTGTGTCTTTGACTTTGATCAGCAAATGCTTCAGATCCTCCTCGAACTCAGCAAGCAAGCTTGTGTCACTTGTTCACGGCAGGTTGTTAATAACCCGCCCCGCCCCCCACCCCCATCCTGATAGCACGTTTCTTCATGTTGTCCAGCGTGCAGATCGAATTAAGTGTGGCAAAAGGAAACAGACCCATTGCCGACCTTTCCTGCTTATAATTCAGTCCCTTCTGTTTGAACAAGCTGCCTCTTGGTCTGTGTACAGGTTCCACATGCGCACAATGAAATGTTAGGACATTTCTATTTGAAGTGTTGTTTGTAGTTTTTATGGTCCACACAGTCAAGTGCCTTTGCATAGTCCATAAAACACAAACAGACATCATTCTGGTATTCTCTGCCTTCAGCCGAGCTCCATCTGACACCGACATTGCTGTCGCTGGTTTCAGGTCCTCGAATCCAGCTTGACTTGCTGGCAAGCTCCCTGTCAGTGCACTGCTGGAACTGTTTTTTAAATTATCTTCACCAAAATGTTACTTGTACGTGATATTTTATAATATTGTTTGATTATTTTCATATTCTGTTGGCTTGCCTTTCTTTCCCTGGGCACAAATATAGACCTCTTCCAGTCAGTTGGCCAGGTAGCAGTTTTACCATTTTTGGGGGGGCACAGATTAGTGATTGATTCCTGTGCTATATCACTTTGTTGAAACACTACAATTCATATTTGGTCAATGCCAGTTGAATTAGTACGGGGTCTGTTAGCTGTCCTGAGACCATGCTTGGTACTGAGAAGGCCCTCAATAAACAGTCATGGATGCATGAAAACTGAGGATTAAAAAGACTAATGCACTTGACAGGCTCTCTGGTGGTGAACTGGGTTACGTATTGGGCTGCTAACCACCAGATAAGCAGTTCAAAACCACCAGCCACTCTGCAGCGAAAAGATGAGGTTTCTACTCCTATAAAGATTCACGGTCTCAAAAGGGTGGTTCTACTCTGTCTTAGAGGGTCACTATGAGTCGACATCAGCTTGATTGCAATGAATAAATAAGCTTGAATAGGGAAAGAAGGAATAAGGAAGACCAAAAAAGAATCAATGCATTTTAATTACTCTGTGGGGCAAGGCTATTGAATAGCCCCAGGGGCTGCCAGAAGAACAAACAAACCTTTCTGAAAAGATACACAGCCAGGATATCACAATAAGTTTAAACACAATAATTGTAAGGAAAGCGAACATCGGACTTGGCAGTGTTTCGTTCCGGCACACGCTGGTTTGCTCTGAGTCGGAGCGGACTCTATGGAACCTCTCATCAGCCCCGTCGTCACAATACACTCTTGGCAAAGCAGGGTGGTGGTGGTTTCTCAAGTTTATAGAATCATAGCTCTTCATGAACAAGTAAACATAGGCCCAAGAGAAATATTAACTACAGCAACTTTCATCTAGTGCCTAAGAATTTAGGAAGTGTGCCATGCAAGCGTGGCCTTCATATTTTCAAGCTAGTGTTCATAGAATTTTCCTTCCTCTTAGGTGAAGTTAAAAAGTCTCTAACCATCCCTCAGAGAATAGTCCTCTTCATGCCCTGTCTTTATATGGTGATCTCGAGCCCCTAACAATTCAGGAATCTGGATGAGACAGTTCTGTGCAGAGGATAATGGTCCTTATACTGATAAGTGGAATTCTCTTTAGAGAGGGGACTGAATTATATCACTTCAGCCTTGTTGTTCTTTCCCCATAGCAAGTTCCCATTTACAAGCTGTTAGTCTTCGTGTGTTTTGGCTCAACGTAACCCTTTTGGTTGCTCTTTCTTTGTTGTTGTTTCTGTTTAAATTTAAGCTCTTGAAATATGACTAGTTCTAAATCACAGAAATCAATTTAATCTTCTACTTTTTACAAAGTCTGCTTAAAGTCCAGTTTCTACCAATAGCCACGAGAGGTTTTAAAATTCCTCCATGAGGCTTTAGCCAGTGCATTAAAGATTTTCCAGGACATGAGGAGGATTGTGTGTATGTATGTGTGCACTGTAGCATCATTTCATTGACCTAATTTATTGTTATAGACATGACTAGTGCAGAGGAAAAGCATTTTTGCACGACATCACCACTTTGATGGCTTAAAGAGACTTGAGTTCAAATACCAACCTCTAAACTGTATCCTCTGGGATATAGTATCCCCCTGGTTCACTTCAGAAAGGTACAAAGAGAGGATGATATAGCTGCCCTTTGTAAGCCCAGATTTTGTGTTTCTTGATGAGTATGTTGATTGTCAAAAGTGTCCCCAGATTCCAGTATGGTATATCTGTCATGAATGTGGGGTGAGAATGACATTGCATGCTCATAAGCATTTGCTCCAGCAATGGTGCCTGTGCCATTTAGCAACATCACCCTCCTAAATATGTTTTTCCAAAGTATGGTTCCAAGTTTGTAAAGATGGGTGGGTGGGGGGAGACTCAGAAAGTTATTTTCTTTGAGTGTTCCAGAGTTTACAAAGCACCTTCCTGCATGTGATCTTCCGTGGTCCACTTGACAGCCCTGTTAGCTGTGCAAGGCAGCTATCATTCTCCTCGTTGTCCAGACAGGTTAACTCAGAAGAGTGCTGTGGATATTGTCTAACGCCACACAGCCAATCTGTGGTGGCTTCTGGAAGAAATCTCAGGCTTTCCCTTCCTGGCTTGGTCATATTCTCCAAGCACTGATACGTATATTCAGACCATGGAATCAGTATTCTTTTAAAGAAATACACAGCCCTGTCAGCGACCTACTTCAGATTTATTTATCAAAGAACTAACTAATATTTAAATGCACGTACCTAGAGGCAACACAGAGCAGTGTTTGCTTTGTTTTAGTCTTGGATCAGGAATTTGGAGTGGCTGCACCATGAAGAAGTGATGGCCAGATAACAGCAAGGTGAAATAAAATTGGAGAAAAATGGCCTAGTGAAGTAGGGCAATATTTGAACCGGGAATTTTAGGTTCAAAGACAGGTGGTCGAGTATGTGGGAGTCAGAAGGGCTCTGTGCTCTGGTCATTTGCTAGTCAACATGTCACAGTTGATGGTGTCGTGCCCCAGGGCAAAGAGGCTCATACTCGAGGCGGGGGTCTGCCCCATCCAGATGAGGAGGGGATCTCACTAAAGATTCATGAGTAGTCTACAATCCCTTAGAATCTTCCCTACTTTTAATTCCTATACTTTTCTGTCCCCTTTTCTTAGCTTCACCGAGGCCAGAAGTCTCAATCCAAACTCCCTGCTGATCCATTTTTGTATTCATATGATCAGACTGTAGCTATGGAACAAGGCTAGTATTAATATGAGTCGTATGCCATTTCTGTGTCCACAGAGGAACAAAGGAACAGCATCATCAACTCCAGTTTGGAATCTGTTGTTTCTTCTAATGCCAACAGCATCCTTAATTCCAGCAGCAGCCTGCAGCCAAACATGAACTCCAGCGACCCAGACCTGGATGTGGCCAAACCCACTCGGCCCAACTCACTGTAAGTATGGAGCCCAGTTGCTGCCGCACTGGGGCCTCAGTCGACAACTCTGCCCAGAATTTCCTCTCTGACCCTCTCTGAGTTTGAACTGTTGTCCAGTGAATATGATTTAAGCCTCCTCAAATTTAGAGTGTGGCTAGTTTGTCATAGGTTTGTTGAACATCCATCATCTCGCTTTTAAGGGAAATCATTATTCTTAGCACATTGCTTCTTAGCTTCGATGATTTTTTGATTTACCATCTTGCTGAGTCGGCTTTGGTGATGGCTGTGGCCTGGGCTGGCTGCTGGGCACGCAGAGCATTTCTTGTCGTCTGACAGGTATCCAGGGACACGTAGTGGCTCGGTCGGTCAGGAGCCAAGTCCATTTCCCTCATTCACATTGCTGCACTTTTCCTTCTCCGTGACTTTGTTGGAAATGCTTAATGCTTCCTCTGTGTCCTGCCAGAAAGAAGAGTCCCCAGTAGTCCTTCGAGTCCCTGCATCCTCAAACCTCAGCTTGGCTGTGATCTCCTCGCGGACCCTAGAAACAGCAAGAGTCCAGGTTTCATTCTCGTGCATTGAGGCCCCGTAGCAAGTGCAGCCACCTTCAAGGCTGCTTGTCCAGTCCCTCAAAGAAACTAGGTCTACTTCCAGGGGCCAGAAATGTTCCTTTGTGGTCTTGAAAGATGGGTAGGAGGGAAGCTGGCTTGTTTTCTATTTTATCAGTGCCTAGCTGTGACTTGTTTTTGTTTTTTTGATGTGATTTGTTTTTTTATAAAAGATTACTCTTCTTGCTTCACTGTGTTGAGGGGGATTGTTGCTTATCTGGCACAGATTTGGGGGGCTTTCCTGGGGAAGGAAGAGTGATGCCAGGGATGCTTCTGTTTGTTTGCCATTGGAGGAAGATTAAAGGTAGAAGTGTGGGTATGTTTCCAACAAGAATGGTGTCCCTCCAAGCCGAGTGGTCTTTGATGGAAAACTGTGAGTGTGGCTGTCAAGGAAGACTTACTGATGTGGAAGCAGTGCCTTTGTCACAGCCCCGGTGGTGAGGACCATGCCAAAGCCCCCATAATCCCTGCACCAAGTTCATAGATCATTTCTTAAACCTCTAGTAAGTTGTTGCTCCTCAAACTTTCCTGCCTTTAATGTGCTTGGTGAACCATGGACAAGAGTATAGACAGTCTCAGGGGCTCAAGTGGGAAGAGAAGGCTTTGAAAATGATGATGGCAGCATATGTGCGAACGTGCTTGACACGCTGGATGAATGTGTGGATTGTAATGAGAGATGTAAGAGACCCTAATGAAAGCTATTTTTTAAAAAAAAGAAGTATAGGCAGTCTTGGCAAACAGGGGCCACAGAAATTCTCTAAACTAATTTCAAGAACTTGGTGGTAACTGGGCTCAGTCACAACCAACCAAAAGACCATTTGGATCTCAGCCTTCATTCTTCCCAGTTTGAAGTGTGCAGAGCTCCTTCAGTGGAAACAATTCGTGATGCAAATGGAAGCAGAACACAAAGGCAGGTCTACCACCCACCTGGGTTTACTGTCTGTTTATTAATTAATTATGCATGATGTGGACAGTCTGTCAACAGGAAATCGCCATTTCTCCTTTCTATTTCATTCAGTTTCTCCACTTTTTTTTTTTTTCATCATGACTAGACAATCACTATAACCATATGGAAATCATAACCAAGGCACCATGTCTGTTGTTCCTTATACTTTGACACCTGAGATGACTAATTTTTCTAGGTCATTGGTCATTCTTTCCCAACTCTTCAAGGAGTGCCTGGCCTTCCTGCTTGCGTGGGCTTAACGCTAGATCAGGTACCACAACTAGAGTTGCCACTATTCCACCACCACTGCAAGACAAGGCTTCTGGGTTGAAATCTTAGGCAGTTCCTGAGCTAGGACTTTTGGAGTAGTCATCTCGCCTGAAGATCAAAGGATGGTGGGTCAGCTAGGATGAAAGCCTGATTCCTAACCTAAATTCACGTCCTGTGTGACCCAGTTTTTACCCAGGCTTGTGGTAAGTTACCTGTGGTAAACCCGTATCTCTCTCTAGAGCTTGACATCTGGTTAAGAAGGAGACACGTGGACTAAGTCAATGCTAAGTAGCATTGGTAGTTCGTAAGTACTTTCTTTTAGCGTTCAACCAATATTATCTGAATAGCTGCTGAACATATACCATGTTGAAGTATTGGGAAAGGTGAGGTAGGTAATAAAGGGTGAGGTGGGAAGTGGTAACATTTATGAGTGGGTTCAGAGCATTCTAGGGTAGGGGGGCTATGAGAAAGGCTGAGGTAATCAGAATCGATAAATATAGCCTGTAGAAACACTTGTTGAACAGAAGGGAAAAGATATTGGCTGAAGGGCTCTAGTCTCTCCTTCAATCACTACTTACAAAAAAGAAATTGAACCAATATTTCAGAATCAAAAGGCTTCATGTACAAGTACAACTTATCCTAGGAATGCAAGGATGGTTCAACATGAGAAAACTCTTATCAGTATAATGCACCATATTACTAGAACAAAGGAAAAGATCTACGTGATCATATTTATAAATGTTGACAAAGTATTTGATAAAACTCAATGCCCTTTCTTAATGAAAACCTTAAAGAATGTTGAAATAGAGGGAAACTCTTTGAAATTATTTGGGCCGTATATGAAAAGCCAACATCCCACATTATACTTCATGGAGAAAGATAAAAGGCTTTCCCTTGATATCAGGAACAGGACAAGGGTGCTCATTCTCACTCATTGTATTTAATGCTACATTAGAAGTCTTAGCTAGAGCAATAAGACAAGCACACAAAAAAGAGATCTAGATTTTAAACAAAAAACACCACCATCAAGGCAACTGAATCATAAAGTGGAATTATTGCTATTTGTGTATGATATCCTAAATATAGAAAATTCCAGAGAATCTACACGAAAACTTCCAGTACTAGTAGTGCAATTTAACACTTTCAGGGTTCAAGGTCAACAATCCAAAAGTTTAGTTGAGTTTCTGTACATCAGCAATGAGAAATCTGAAAGAGAAATCAGGGAAATTATTCCATCTAAGAGAATAAAATCCCTAGGGCTAAATCTAAGTGGGAACATGAAGCACTTATACACTGAAAACTATGAAACACTGCTGGAAAAGCTTTTAGTCAATGGAAAGATGCTCCACGTTCATGGATTGGAAGACTTCATGTTTCTTAAGATGTCAGTAACTTCCCAAAGCAATCAATGGACTCAGCTTAATCCCAAGGAAAAAACCTATTGTCTGCTTTACAGAAATAATAAAGCTAATCTTCAACTTTACGTAGAAATCCAAGAGGCCTTGACTAGCTAAAGCAATGTGGAAAGAATGGAACAAAGTAGGAAGACTCACATTTCCTGATTTTAATGCACATTGTTCTGCTGCAGTAACCAAACAGCTTTGTATGAGTATAATAATAGTCATGCACACTAATGGAATAAAATGAAGAGTTCATAAATCTAAACATTTATAAATTTTAACTAACGTGTATGCTGAGTCTATTTAAAGGACATTGAAGAATCTCTTTAACAAGTGGTGCTGGGACAAGTGGATTTCCACATTAGAAAAAAAAAAGAATGCTAAGTCTATTTAAAGGACATGGAAGAATCTCTAACAAGTGGCGCTGAGACAAGTGGATTTCCACATTAAAAAAAAATGAGCCATATCCGTGCCTCATACCATAGACAAAAGCAATTCAAAATGGATTAATAACCTAAATGTGTAAAACTAAAACCATATAACAATGTTTAGAAGAACAAGCAGTTGTAACATTGTCAGGCCTAGCTTTTAACAGTGGATTATTTAATATAATAACAAGCAAAAACTGACATAAAATAATAAATGATACATCGTAAAAATCTTCAACTTTTGTTCATCAAAAGACTTTACCAAAACAACAAGCTGCAGACTGACAGAATTTCTTTGGAAACCACATATCCGACAAAAATCCAATAAACAACAACAACAACAAATATATATATTTATATGCTGGCAGGCTAACAACAAAAAGACAATCACCGAGTCGCAAACTGGGCAAAGGACTTGAATTGGCATTTCATCCAAGAGACTATCCAAATGACCACCAGTCACAGGAAAAGATTGGTACCTTGAGCCATCAGAGGGATGCAAAAATAATAATAATAATCACAGTGGGGAGGGGGGAAATCACAGTGGGATGCCATTTCATTCCCAGTAAGATAGCTAAGGAGCCCTGATGGCATAGTGATTGAGAGTTGAGGTGCTAACCACAAGGTCAGCAGTTCAAAACTTCGAGCCAGCTTCCCGAGAGACAGATGGTCTTTTTCCTCCCTTAAAGAATCTCAGAAACTCACAGAGGCATTTCTCCCCAGACCTAAAAGGTTGTCATGAGTCAGAATTGACACGATGGCAGTGAGTTTGGTCTAGGAAAGCTAAGATTTGGAATAAAAACAACAAAAAATTTAAAAATGTTCATGAGGATCTACAAAACTTGAAAACCATACTAAGAATGCAAAATAACACAGCCATCGTGGCAAATAGTGTAACGATGCCTCAAAAGACCCTAAAAGTAGAGCTACCATATGAAGCAGCAATTCCACTCCTAGGCTTATACTCAAAGCCTTGAAAGCAGAGCCTTAAATAGAGAGTTGGACAATGTTCATTGCATCACTATTCACAATGGTCAAAAGGTAGAAACATCTTAATTGCCCATCAATGGATGTGCCATAAAATGTGGTACCTACATGCACTGGAATAACCACTCAGGGGACACGAAGTCTTGATGCATGCTGCCATATGAATGGAGCTGGAAGACATTATGCTGAATGAAATAAATCAATCAAATTATCAAAATGAATCAAAAATCAGAAGGACAAATATTTTATGGCCTCACTTACATAAAGACAGATGTATGGAGAAAGACGTATGTGAGTGATGATTACCAGGGAAGGAGGAGACCGGAGGGGGTTGCATTTACATAATGAAAATGTATTAATTAAAGATACAATTGCACAGATG